TTCTTGCTCCCAAACAGGATTTGCCGAAGCTGGGAGAGGGTGCTGTGGGACTGGAACAGTAGAGACCTCGGTGTTGTTGTGCAACTCTAAGTCGCTGGGAACTTGCAGCAATGCAACTCAATATGTGTTTTGGGACAGTGTCCATCCATCTGAGGCTGCTAATCAAGTCTTAGCAGACACATTGATCACCCAAGGGATTGAACTCATTGGATGAAGCTCATATTCCCCCCTCCACAGTTTGCATTGACTTAAAGTTACCACTGTACTCTCCTCTATCTTCTAGTGCCTTCTTTAAAAGTTTATGTTGGTTTGTTATTCATCTAAAAGATTACAAGTTTGTCTCGCTATATAGACACACGGAGTACTATTTCGTCGTGATATGTATCACTTTGTCCACTTTGAACTTCTTTTGATAGTAAATTTATGTTACAAAGCTCATACTATCCTTACCTTGGATTTACTAAAATTAGAATGAAATTGAAGCAGCAGATGCTAAAAAAATGAAAGTCAATATCTTGTATTGACAGGTCCCAAGAAAATGTAATATACAAAAAGAACAATTATGAACAAGAAAGTAAAGTGAAATATTGATTAGAAGCGGAGACAGTGGTAGAATGTACTTGGCTAGTTAATCTTTCTCAATTGATCAGAGTGGTTTGCTTCCCAAATCCAACACCCATCCATATTTTCCATGATCCGTTCCGTCTGGGTTCCAGCTTCGACCATATTCTTGTTTTTGGGTTTCCAGAAGGTTCTGGTTTGCTTCTGAGTCCCCAGTTTCTGGGCAGGCAGTGTATCCCCAGGAGTATACTTCTCATACAACTCCTGTGAGGGTTTCTTTGAATTCTGCAATTCAATTTCCACCATTAACAATAAGGGTCTGTTTGGAACGGGTGCATGCTACGAAAAGAAAATTGAGGAGAAATTTTGAAGGAAATGTAACAGGGAAATTATGACAAAAATGTTCAAACTAAAAAAGTCAATTTTAGATGTATGTTAGAACTCAGTTTATTCATATATTTGTATTGCAACATATTAAGAATAAGAAATATAACTCGTAATTTTTAAATAATACCAGAGTACTATTTTTTTTTATCAAATCTGATTTCCTTTGTAACATCCAATGCTAAAACCAAACACAGCATTTTTCCTTCCCCTCTTGTTTTCACATTCCAAGCATAGTCTAGATAACTGTAAACAGGAATCTAAATGATACGACTGGCTTACATATGTGAGTTGTCTGCCAGTCTTTTGGTACTCGAAAGACTGATAATGATTGAAGTGCTGGATTGGCATTGGCTTGTTTGGCTCCCTGGAAAGTGCCAAGGTTACATGCATAGGCTTTCCATAACAAGTAGTTCCATTGAGTGAATCCATAGCTGATTTTGCGTCTCCTGCTCTGGAAAAGCATACAAAGCCACACCCTTTGCTGATCCCATCACGGCGAATGATCTTCACTGAAGTCATTTCTCCATAAACGCCAAATATTTCTTCTAATTTTCTTTCATTGACAGATACACTTAGGTTCCTCACATGCAGTTCTAAATCATTAAGTTTACCATTAAGAGCCTCAACAGCATTCTTAGCATCTTTGTGTGAGTTTTGTCTGATAAAGCCAGAGTCTCTTGAATTCCCTTCTTCGTCCCTCGCGATTGCAGCATTAGGGACCTGCTCATAGTTGGAGAACCTTTCTCTTGATGGGTCCCCAGTCAGATTGCAGTCAATGTTTTGCAAATTCATGTGTGTGAATCTATTATCTTCATGTGTAGCCATCCTCTCTTCTTTCTTCATAAATGAGGAAACATATCTGAAAATATCAAAAAGTATAAACCACTATTTTGAAACAACAGGAAATGAAAGTGTACACGGATCTCTCCATCTTCTAAATTTCCAAAGTTAGTGTATGTTTGGATCCAGGAAAATGCTAGGGAAAGGGAAAAATATGTCAAGCCAAGTTATTTTCTTGCATTTGGGATACATTGGAAAATGAAATACAATTCAATCACAATAACAAACCCAACAAAATTCTGCAAAAAGTAGGGTCTGGGGTAGCAGTAGCCCTACTCGGAAGTAGAGAAAATGAAATACAGTTGATGCTTTTAATTTTTTTTCATATCCCTTATATAACATGAATGAATAAACAAAATAGGATTCAAAAACTCTGTCAAGAATGAATTCATTGATTGTGCACCAATGCTTTATGTCCACACATTTTCTTTCCTTCAAAAAATTCACATATACTTTCGTCTCTATAGCCTTTCAGTAGGATTTGTTAGGTTGTAGCCTTTCAGTAGGATTTGTTAGGTTGTGGATCCTGATTAATAGTTGATGTACAGTCGCAATTTAGATCTGATTATTCTAAAACATCAAGAAAATGAAAAGACGTGAGAAAGAACATCATGAAATGGGTGGGGAGGAAAAGGAAACGTACAGCGTCTTCCCCTGAAAGACAACTCCATGGAGACAAGTGATAGCAGAAGTGGCACAAGGCTGTGAATCAAACTGAACAAATCCAAAACATTTGCTCTTCCCATTTTCGTCTTGTGCGACTTTACAAGAGAGTATTGTTCCGTATCCACTAAACAATCTCTCCAATTGAGTGCTGGTTACAGAAGAAGAAAGGTTCTTGACGAAAACGTTCCCAATTCCAGATTTTATTATTAATGGATCCCTTTGCCACCACATAATCCTCATCGGCTTTCCCCTCAGGTTCGTATGGTTCATGCACAGAGCCTTGCAAGCTGATGGTCAAATTGATTAGTAAGAGAAACATGGGGTCAATTTATGGAAAACAGAGTGTCAATTGCACCAAGAAATATGAATTAAACTGTAATTCGAACAACCGTAAATCCAAATGACAATAAAATCTACTCCAATGTAGTAATAATATAGGAGTAGTTTAGAAAGCAGCAACAGATGGTCATTTGCAGCAGGAAATAAAAACTAAGCTGAAAACCCCAAAAGAAAATTTGATTTAATTGTACAAGAAAATAATTTGGGGATCTAAAATGTACCAAGAAAATATAAAAAACACAGTGTCAATTAGTGCCGGAAATATGAATTAAACTGTAAGCAGACGAACCCTAAATCCAAAATCACTTCCAGTCAGACGAATTGGGGGACTACAACCAACCAAGAATACACAGAATGGTATCCAAGAAAACCCCAGAAACGCATCAGGAAATTGAGGGGTTCCTTACCGTGACGGAGACAGAAGAAGCTGACAAAAGCGAAGCAGCGGGATTTGCGAGAGGCGGGGTTTCTACAGAGGCGGACGGAATCCAATGGGCCAACCTGAGAAAATGCATTCTCGAGGTCCCGCTCGGTGGCGTCCGGGTGAAGGTCGCCGACGTAGAGGCACGGCGTTCTCAAATGCAGCGCCGTCGCCATGGAAGATTTGGCCCTTGGATGGTTTTAGAGCGGATGAGAGAGTGTTTAAGCAGAGAGCGTTGGATTCTTGGAGAGGAATGGGAGTGCTAAGAGTAAGTATATGGAGCTATGGGAAAATTGAGCCGGGAGAGATGAGGCTGTTAGTTATAAGCTTATAACTGTCATAACTGGTTAGATATGCTGGGGAAGCCATGGTTGAACAAATTAGAGCGGTGAGTTTTGAAGAAATGAGTTTTGAAATAGGAAAAGTGTTTGGAGAAAAAGGAAATGAAATCAAATTACAGTCACAAATCTTTGGTGAGTAATTAAGATATCAAATTAAATATCGAATATGATTTGATTTTTATGTATGCTTCTTGTATCAAATAAAAAACACATTAAAATTATAATTATACTTTTTTAAGGGAGATTTATATTTGTACATCTTATTTATCGAAGTTAAATATTGGCTATTTATTATTATTATTATTTGGGTTTCAATTTTTTTATTGCATATCTTTTTAATGGAAGTTTTATATTTGCATATCTTAAACAAATAGTGTGTAGTGTGTACTCTTTCCATTTTAAAAATGATTTAAAGCATACTTTACACAATTATCCATCTTTTAACATTTTTCTTTAATCTAACTACCTCAAGGGCAAAAAGAGAAAGTGAATTACTTTTAAATTTTACGTTAAACACCATGCTAAATTAGTAATGAAAGAAATATACGAGATATAAAGAGTGCAATATATGAAGTATGTAACAAATATTTTCACTATTCTTTTAAGAAATTTTAATCAAATTATACTACATGTGGAATTGTATGGCGACAAACCATATCTAGTTGCATTTTATAATAGAAAAAAAATTCACTTTTCAATTTTTATTTTTTGTATTTTTTTTCATTTTGAAAAACTATTTGTGGTCTAAAATAGTTTTAATTTCTCAATTCTAAATAAATTCCAACAATTTATTTTTTATTTTTGACAATTGTTCTTTGCTTTTTTTAAAGTTTATTTGATGTAAAAATGAGAAAATCAATTTAGGAGAAAAGAATACATGATCGGTTTCAGCACATAACTCACTTTTCAAAAACAAAGTAAATTTTTGTCACAATGTGTTTGGACTTTCGTTTTTAAAATAGAAAAAAATTGTCATTCATATGTTGAATATTGATTCGCCATTATAGTATCATCTTGGATACTTGATAAAATAGTATTCTATATTTTGAAAAAATACTGAATTCAAAGACCTTTGAAAATATCTTTAATGCAAAACTTTCAAACTCAGAAATTGATTTTTTTATACGACAAATATTTTAATAGATCACCAATGTGCAAAATAATATTTTACAACAAATATTTTTTTAATTTAAATTCGATAAATCTTTGAACTCACTAAGTACTTTGAGAATTTGTGACTAAATATTTCACAAGACGAGTTTACATAAATATTACTAAAATATAATGACTTTCCTTAAATAGCACCACATGTGCTTGTTTTCCCAATGTAGCACTTTTAGTCATTATCCATTAATTATTATTCAAGTAAATATTCGTCATCACTGGACATTATGAACATTATTAAGTGATATTTAAGGAATAAAACAGTTTAAGTGCTATTTAGAGAAATGACTTAAGTTTTAGTGCTATTTCTCAAACTATGCATTTTAGAGATACAGTATTTTAACATTAAATTTTTAAGTAACAAAGACTATGAACAAAAATGAAGTATACTAATGAGAAATGTGCACACATTTTCGTGGAACACGGGTAAATGTCACACCTTTTATGACTTGCAAAAAGTTTTCACAAGTAGTTCTTCTATACAACATCCTTTCTAATCTAATCCTATAAGCTCTACTGATATTCTCAGATACCAAATGGAACAAGCTTCAATTAGTTGCACATTTCACATTTTAGTGCAGTGTATAACTAATTGAAACTTGTAGTCACCAAGATTTTTACTACCCCTGGATGTGGTACCTGTAATGAAGCACAAAGTACAGCCTTTTAAGCTAATGAACCAAAAGACGCTGACCTCCTGCTGCCCCGGGACGAAGGCAGATTCCGACCTTCCTTCAAAGCATCTGCATATTTCACCAACTCAGGCGTACGAAAACTCTCTTGATGAGCCAATCCCTTCCTGCTCATTCCTCCCTCTTCTCCTTCTTCTTCGACTTCTTGAAAGTGTTTTGATCCGCCAAATGAGCCCTGAGATGAAGAACTTGATTTGTGCTTCCCACGCAGTAACCTCATCATCTTACCGAAAACTTTTCTTTTCCCAGACGTGTGAGCTTTATGGGTTGTTGGTGTCGATGAGCAGATGGAAGTATCCTCAGTGGGGGTAAAAAATGAAGCTTGGGAGGAAGATGACCGTTCGGAGGAGCCAGAGTGTGGGCCGACGCCTTCTTCTTCCCTGCGCGCGTATTCAAGAATCAGTTGTTTGGCTCTCTCCTCTGATTTGGGACTCAGTGTCTTGCTGAGATCCCTAGCCACTGTTTTGTCAGGGTCAGGTTGGTAATTTCTGAGCTCGTAACGCAAGCAGGCATTTACCCACCGGAGATAGACAAGCTCTTCGGCATCCGAACACCTGTGGGACCGGAGCTGTTCAATCTCCTTCTCCATGTCAGCGTTTTGTTTCCTTAACCGTTCAGCCTCAGCCACCAATGCTTCCATCTGTCATTAAACATAAAAGGTCAGTTCTTTTTTATTATTATTCTTTTTGAAAACAAAGGTAGATATTTAAAACAGAAATGGGATGAAAGAATCACCTCTTCATCATCAAGAACAGAAGTGGCAATGATCTGAACATATTCCAACCGCTGAGCCAATTCAGAATTTTCTGTCCTCAAACTATTGTTACAACTCCTCAGCTCTTCTGCTTCGATCTCCAATTCCGCTATCCTTTGGACCTTTGTATGAGCATCCGATTCTACTTCTAGAAGCTTCTTCTCCTGATTGTGCAGTGTTTCAAGAGCCTTCTTTTCCACATTTTGAAGCTTCATATATTTTTCCTGAAGTGCACAGACCTGCTCCTTCGTATTCTCAGCTTCATGCCTTAGTTTTTTCTTCAGCTGCTTTACCTTCACTCTTGCGGCCTCAAGTTCTGACACGACCTAAAATATATCTATAAGTAAGTAAATACGGAGTATATAATGATCAAATAAGAGTTTTTTTAAAATAAAGAAATAGCATTCATAGACTACCGTTGCGGAATCAGCCATTTGTGCTTCTAATTTCTTTTTATCAGCCTTCAAAGATTCAATCTTTAGAGCAAAGAGCTTGGCCTCCATGTTATTGATATTTATGCGGTTTTGAAGCTCCTTCACAACAGTTTCTTGCTCCTTAAGACCATAATATTCGAGCAATTTGATCTCAAGATTCCTCTCCCTTTCCTTGAGGGTTTTAACAATGCCTTTCAACCTCCTAACTTCTTCATCATGTTCTTCCCTTTCAACAGAAATATATTCCCTCAATGCAGAAACTTGGTATTGAAGTTCAACGCCTTTTCCCTCAAATCTAAAACTTTCTGATGGGCCGGATATATCTGAGAGGCCCGCCTACAAAGAAGCACATCTTTGTTTGTTTAGCTTAAATTGTCATATTAAACTTGTTTGTAACTTATTTTTGCCAAATTGCATTGGAAAAGATAGCTTCATTCGACCCTTTTTTTTGCAGGGAAAAGCATTTGAAAGCTGAATATAAGTGGAATTATTGAACAACAACCAAAGCAACCATGGTTTAAAACTCTTGACAACAACAACAAAAATAAAAAAATCCCATCGACAAGAATATCCCACCAATCCGATCATCGCGAACATTATGCCCTAACTTCAAATGAAAAAAAATCCCATTATTATCAACAAAAGATCTTACGCATTTTCCTGATGCCACAGAGCCAGAAGCACAAGCACAAGGTGTAGTCTGCAAGGATTGTTTCGAATGAGATGGTGGTGTTGTCTGCAGAGAGTGATCATAATCTGTGGGACAGAAGTTGAGATCATCATACTCCATACATCATATCATATACAAACATATCCAAACTCAGGACATCATATTTATCCTAAGATTAATCACAGTAAACACAGACCAAATTACTAAATCTCAAACTACATAAATCACATCCATCACATAGTTTTCTGAAACCAGAGTGTAATCACTACTTGGGGTAACAGAAAATCAATCACAGATCAATTGACCAAAATAAGAACCAAAACTGAAATGGGTTTTAACAAAGAGCATGAACTAGAAACAGACCTGTAGATGGAGGCAGTAAAGGGGTGCGTTTGGATGGTTTGATTCCTCTGTTTCGCAAGATTGTATAAAGAATCCCACCAAGAGAGAGACACACAGCTACCCCATATTTTAGAAGCAGGGGCCCGAAATTTCTCCTTCCTCTCATCTACTCTCCGATCAAACCAAACAATTAAACAAACCTCAAAATCCAACCGTTTCTTGAATTGGATGGGTACAATAAACAAACAGATGACGAGCATGTCTTCTTCCTCTTCGCCTTCATGTCCAAACATATAAACAAAGAGATCAGATGATGACCCAGCTGGGGAATCGATGCAAGGATGAAAACCCATTATCGGAAAATGAACAATTCGAAGAAAAGATTGAAACTTTACCGATGAGAGACGGGATTCTCCCCCAACATCGGATTCGATGAATGGGAGGCTGGAAACGCGCCAGGCGGGCAGGAGAATCCAGTCGCGCCAGGGAGTTGGGGAAACTTGATTCTGGTGTGGATTTTATTCGTGTTGGTCTGCGTCATGTGGTTTTGTCTTTCTTACTCGTACTATTTTTGGATTATTACGATGAAAATCAGACAAAAAAAATCGGTGATCTTGAGTCTGGGCCATGAAGCAGCTGCGTATTCATTTTCAGGAAAAGGTGAGCCAGCTATCTCTCGAGAGTCGAGAAGGGTAAATTTGTCTTTCTCGGATGATTCAAATATGATCCTAACTTTATTTATGGGTACGAAGTACTCAAAAAAATTATTGAATAATTTACCTAAATAAGACTAAAACATAATGACTTTCTCAATATAGGAACACATTTTTTATTTTTCCAATATAGGACCATTGGTCATTATTAATTAGTCATTATTCAACTAAATATCCTCCATCACTGGACATTATTTCTTACCCTAGACATTATTAAGTCCTATTTAGAGAAAAGAAATCACCCTACGTAGCACTCTAACTAATATAATATTACGCATTTAGCACTGCTTATTGTTTATTTACCAAATTAGCTATTTATGTTGTCAATCTCTTCCAATCATACCCTTTATGTTATCAATCCCTTTTATCCATCCCACTATCAATTATTTCAATTTCCCTTTCAACTCCTATATCAAATTCGGTCTCACATAATGTATACTTTGTGCATAGTGGCATAATACTCTTTTTTATCAAATTTTTTCGTCAATCAATTAAATGTAGTTTTGAATAAATATATATAATAAAAATATGATATATCAAAATTATATCATAAAAATATGCCAATTATAAATACTTCTTTTATCCCAAAATAGGGCTCTTATTCGATTTACGATGTTTGATTGAAATTATTTTCAAATCAATATTAGTAAAAATTATTGTATAATTAAAAAATAGGAATTATATATTAAAAAAACTACATAAAATTTTTTATAAACAAGTGGTGACAATGTGACTTACATATAAAACTACCAATTTATAAATTATTATTTGATTTTCATATTGTGCAAAGAGCTTGTGGTTGATTTTATGACAATAGAGTTTTACCATGAAAGAGATTGTTATGAAATGTGTTACTCAATATGGTGACTATAAATATATGGGCAGTACAGATTGATCATGTTATGCAAACACTTTTTGGCAGTGAATATGTCTTCTATATATAATGTAGCAGACAAGAGTGAAAGTATGATAATGTATAAAAGTTAGGGACCTAAACAAATTTGTATGTACTTTATTAACTTCCATTAATAATATGGCAGTGAAATTAGACATACATATGAAACTGCCAATGTTATGAATTATGAATTGAATTTCATAT